GAAGCCTAAGGCCTTCGCAGGAAAGGATGGAAATAAAAGGGAATAGCTCTCCTTTCTTTCCAGAGATAGGAAGGGGCTGGACGGGCACAGAGAACTTCCCAGGTGAATTCTGTCGGGAATCATGTGAAGACTGCATTCTGGGGGGAATGACCATGACCGTTGAAGGCTTGAACTGCCCTCCCCACCCCCACCCCCACAGGAAGGAAGCAGAAGCAGGGTCCAGAGCTGGGGGGATGAGCAGTCTGGAGGAAAGAGGAAGAGGAGAGAACAGGGTGAGATGCCCAGAGAGGTTGAGGCAATGGGGTGGAGTCTTCTGGTTTCCAGTCCCATCCTCTGAGAACCAGATTGGGTCGGGGGAATGACAGAGTGCCGTTTCCCAGGGGCAGGTGCCTGCTCCATCAGACACAGGAGCCTCGACTTTGGCACGTACACCACCAGGCCCTGGACTGTCAAGGACGTGGGCTAATGAGGCCATCTGCATCTTGGCTCCTGCAACTCAGGAAAGTCGTCAGCTTTGCAACCGTGGAAAAGGTGCAGAAAGTCAGGGTGCCGGTGAGTTTTTAGAGGGGCTTTGGGGCTGAGAAGTATCCGCTCTTCACTGTGGCTGGAAGGGTATCTCAGCTTCATGTCATCGTATCATTTTAAAATGGGGTGCCCTCCTGAACACTTTGCTATCCCTCACTGTCTTCCATTCTCACAAAGCTTCCTTGACTTCCACTGGCCAGGAAAAAAGCCCCGCTCTTTTTTGTTTTTGGCCTGGCACGTAAGGCTAAATATCCAGTTAACTCTGCTTTGTAGTTTTCTGCCTCTACACAGTTCTCTGCCATAACACCTGATCTTCACCCACTGAAATGCTCTTCCAGCTCTGCCTCAAGCCCGCTTCTCCCAGGATGCCTGCTCAGCGCCAAGTGACTGCTCCTCTGGACACTCGGTGACTTCTCACTACCTCTCTGGCGGCAGTGTTACATTCTGTCTTGTAGCTTAACTATTGAGGGGATGTTCTTGCTTTTCCCTACTAAATGGTAAACTCTTTGAAGGCTTATACATTTGTCCAGCTTATTGTTGTGCCCCCAGCACCTAGTATAATTTAGAAGACATTAATTAAGCAAATAAATGTATGTGCTGGCGATACAGCAATGAAGAACATTTCCATCCACCGGGAACTCTTCTATGGAGAGAAAAAGATGTTCAGCAATGAGAATTAATTGAATCTAAAGCCCAGAGAACAGAGTTTGATCAATGACAATGTGGGGCTTGGGTAGGAGTGGTAGGAATGATGGGTAAGGGAACAGGCATTCTGGTTGAAGGCCCTACCTCCGTGGACAGTGCCCAGTGTATTTGAGGACGGTGGTGAGTAGCGCTGGGAAGTGGCAGGTAGGAAGCATGAAGGGAAGTAAGAGGTAAGGCCAGAGAAGTGGTGTGGGCACTGGATCAGGTGTACCTTTCTAAGGAGGTTGGATTTCACTCTGGGGCCGTGAGGAGTTGCTGCCCACTCTCAGAGGAAGGTCTCAAAGACCTATACTTATTGAATGAAGGAATGATTCAGCCCTGTGTTCGGGGTGGACACCATCCTATAGCCAGGTCCCCTTTAGGAAAACATTACCATAGGTGGTGTTAGGTATATCCATTCTCTTGGTCACACTATCTTTTTGTGGGATGGTTTGGGTATATATATATATATATATATTTTTTTTTTTCCTTTTAAAGGGGCCAGAACATTTGGTCAGGGTGGAGAAGTCTGCTCCGTCCTCTGGGACAGTGTTTCCTGGTCCATTCCATTGGGCCCACATTCAACCTTGGTACAGAAACCGTCTGTTAGTACTAACTGGCTGACACCAGCACTTCTCATTCATGTCAGAACTTTCTGAGCCTGGGTCTGGCTTGGACTCCCTAGATAATTTTGTGTCCTTCACAGGGAACAATTTCTGGAAGAGAGAAAACCACGGCTGTGGAGTCAGCCATCTGTGGGTTCAACTTCCAGTCGGTCACTGGTTAGCGGCACCACCTTGCCAAAGTCACGAACCTCTCTTTGCATTGGTTCCCTTATCTGAAAAGAATAGGGATGATTAAATACCTCCATCCAAAAAAATAAAAATGAACAGGCATACGGAAATTGCCTAGCTTGCTGCCTGACACATAGTAGGCACTTGTTTTTCCGGTTGGTTGGTTTTCCCATCTGTAGAGTCAAATAGGGTAGATGTTCTGCATAAAAAGAAGCTGTTTTGAAGGGAGCTGTAACTTAAGGGCATGGGGATTTTCTGCCCAGGCTCTCCCCAGAGGTCACCCACCCCTAACCTGACCAATACCACACCCTTCCGGCCAAGAGTTACCAGTCTCTTCAGCCTAACTAGTAACTTCAGCCCCTCTGCCTTTCTCGGAGCGCATCACCTGGGAGAAGCAGACACAAGCCAAGCCCTGTTGCAGAGACTGAGAAACAGCTGTGGCCTGAGGTAGGGGGAGCATCTGCATCCCCCCCCTCCACAGGGCCTGGGTCCCCCCCTCTCCCCCGGAGTAATGGGAACCCGTTATGACACGCTATAGAGATAGACACCTTGGCTTTGATTTTCCTCTTAAGCCCAAAGCCAGAGTCAGGGTTCTTTCTGCAGGCTGGGCTCTGATGTCAGGGAGGAAGTAGGCACACACATGCCCGTGAGAGCTCACTAGTTGGTACAACCCCTCCTGAGGGGCAGAGAGAGCACATCGGCTTGGTGAATGTACACGTGGGCTCCACGTCTCCGGGAAGTTGGGCATGAGGTAAAGCAGGAGGGCTGGCCATGGAGGGAAAGACGGGCCGAGCAAATGAACCAGCATGGAGCAAAGGCCAGGAGATACAAATTAAAAAAAAAAAAAAATTAACACCCACCTCTTTCAGATCAGCCCCCAAACCCCAAAGCAAAACTGCGGCAGTTTTAGGTGCAGCTGAAACCAGAGATGCTGGGCGAGGAGGACCGCAGCTGGGACGGCATAGCTGGAGGTCATCCAGACCCAAGTCCCCTGCGGGAGGTCGAGGCCAAACGGTCCCATTGTGGGGGACAGTGTGCAGCGTCACCTGTTGGGGAACCCCGGACTTCCGTGAGCAGCACAGACTCTTGTATTCGTTCAACCCCGGGGAAGAGCCTGCGAAGGCTCGGACCTCCTGGACTGCCGGGAGTTGGAGGGAGTTTGTGAAGAGCCAGGCGCTCCTGGGCGGGGAAGAAACAGACGCAGCCTTCCCTGGGCGCATCCTCACGCCTCCCGCAGGGTCGCCCGGGCTCGGCCCGGTGCTGCACGGGCGCAGCCCTCCCCCGGGACCGGAGGCCGCCCGTCCATCCAGGGCTGCGCGCGCCGCCGACCTCGCCAGGGCACCGCCCTGCCCGGCGCCCGCCCGCCCCCGGCCCGGCCCACACGTGGGCTCCCGCACGTCCGCGCGGCTGCCCCCTGACGTCAGCCTCGCCGTGCCATTTAAGGCCCCTCCCGTGCCGCCCGCGCGCTCCGGACCTGCTGCAGCCGTCTGCTCCCTTCGTCTCCCGCTCGCCCGACGTGCAGTCCGGTACGACCGGGCCCTGCGCCCCAGGGGTGGGGGAGCGAGCGTCTCGGGGCGCCGCCTACACTCCGTGCCGGAGTCCCCTTTCCCAGGGAGTGCCCGAAGACCTGGGCGGTGGCCCGCCACCCGCTTTCTAAGGTTTGCCCGAAGCGGGGCTCTGGGCGTCTGGCCGGGCCTGAGAGCCGCGAACGTGGCCGCACCCACTCTGGGGCGAAAGCCCGCTTGGGTGCGGAAGGAGGAGGTGGCAAACGTCTTGCGAGAGTTCTAAAGGGGCAGAACTCCACGTCTGCTTCCCGCAGCCCCGGGAAGGGGAGAGCCCCAGCATGTCCGGGCGGGTTCCTGGGCGCCGGAAAGCCGCGGGGCGCCAAGCGGGACCCGTTTCCCCCTGGAACGTTCGGGTGGGGGGGCTCCTCCTGGGAGAGACCGCTGCAGTGCGGGTGTCTTTTGCACGGGGCATGCAAGGATGAGGCAGGGTCCAAGGCGCCGGCACCGTGCCAGTCTCGGGAGAGTGGGATCATCCGGAACTACCCCCTCTTGACCCAAAGCTCAGAGGGTTCAGGCATATCTCAAGTCGCAGTGAAGGGGTGCTAGGATTGGGGAGGATACGCTCATTCTGCAGGGCTCCCTGTTCTCCATTCTGCAAACCCCTCCCCAACTTCCCTCCTCCAACAGCCCCTCCAGCCTGGGGTCCTGGCCAATCGAGTTTTCCGCTGGAAGATGGCCTCCCTCCTTGTGCCAGGCTACAGACTCCTTACCGGGCTGTCTAGAAATAGCAGTGATTTGTAAGGAGAGAGCCCGGAGGTTTGCTGGGGTATTTTTGCCCTTTGGGGCGGTGTCAGGATTAGACGTCGTGCTTTCTGCTTGCAACCTGTGACTTTCCCTCCAGCGAACGCGGTGCAGAGTCCCAGCCGCTCGGAGGTCCGCATCAAGTAGATAGCAACTCTAAGCTATTTCAACACTTCCGGGTACCGACAAAATGTCCTCATTCCGGGGCTTTGGGACTTTGCAATAAGGGACCATGGCAGCAGCCACACGAGGCGCCTCCCCCCGGTTGGTTAACAGGCGCCTGGTTCCTGGCATTGCGATTTAAAGTCTGGCTATGGCCGGGCTTCGGGCCAGGGTGGCGGGCAGCCAGGCATCATGTTGCTCGCGGCTGCTCTGGGCCACTGGTTAAGTCTAAAGTCTGACCCCTAGCTCCCTGCGACCCAGAGAGCCGCATGATTCCTGCCTGCCTCCACCCCAGCGCCCTGGCCTGGGCCCTGAAGCGCACGTGCGCGCGCGCTCTCAGAACCCCAGTTCCCTCAGGCGGATGTGCCCTGTTTATCTCCTCCCCTCCTTCCCCTTATGGGGCGGGGGAGGGGGAAACAGGAAGTGGACACGCAAGCGCAGAACTCTGCATGGGGATCATTTGTAGCCGTTAGAAGTGGCGTTTTTTCTTTCCCTTTTTCTTTTTTGCGTTCATCTCAGGGTTTGGCACTAGGGCCTTGGCAGTGTACGTGCTGTAAGGACCGTTGGTAGCCAGCCTAGGGTTGGCAGGGCAGCGTTCTTGTCTGAAGCTAGGCCAGCCCCCTCGGGGTTAATAAGCCAAGATGAGTAACTCCGCAGGCGGCTATACTTTTACCCAAACATCGCTGTTGTTTTTCCATGCCAAGGTGAGCTGCTGCACACCTAGATCCCCGCCAAATTGCTCTAGCACCAAACCCTTTAACTCTCCTCTGGCCACATTTAGGCATTTTCCTTATTTCTAAAGCCATTCCTTGTGAGTTTTGTGGCTGACACCCCAAAAGGAAATAAACGAACAAAGGATTGAGAGAGCGGTCGCCCTGATACTGCCTTTTCTCCCACGCCCTGCTGCAGGTTCCTTCCTCTTCCAAAAGCACCATGGCAACTCTGAAGGAGCAGCTGATCCAGAATCTCCTGAAGGAAGAACAGGCCCCCCAGAATAAGATCACAGTCGTTGGGGTGGGTGCTGTGGGCATGGCCTGTGCCATCAGTATCTTGATGAAGGTAAGTGCGAGCCCATCACTTTGCAAGCCCCAGAGCACTGATTCCCCCCACCAAGAATTACATCATCACGTCGTATATAAAAATATTTAGGCGCCTGTACCGTTCTCAAAGCTCCATGAAGCTAAGTATGGGAACACAGTGCTTGCTGTACAAAAAGGTACCTGAACTAAGAAAGTCTAAAAGGTTAATTATCAAGAGGCCTGGTCCCTTGGTTTGACTGAAAGGGCAAACCCATGCCTTGCATGGAGCTAAAACTCCTTTAAAGTAATTCTTTAATTGGAAAAGTATACCAAATGTTAAAATCTTCTCCCATCCCAGACCCCCATTGCTCCACCATGTATAACAATTTAAAAAGAAGAAAAACCCAACAGTTGTGGATCTAAAATTAAGTTGGATAAGGAGAACTTGTGGATAAAGAAGGTTTTTCGCAATAGTCACATCTGATTTATCTAAAAAAGAAATCAAGGCAGGTCATAGGGTTAAACGACTTGGGGTTAAGATCTGAGTTCCTAATTCCAGGCTCAAGGATCTCAGGGGGCAGTGTGGGTTAGGTACTAGACTGCTGACCACAAAGCCAGTCCTCATGAGAAAGATGTTCCGTCTTAGAAACTGAATGGCAGCCGAGAGTGAGGATGGAGCAGGCCTGGGCACTGCTGCATTTGTTGTGTGCAGGCTTGCAACGAATTCGAACCAGCACATTGGCGCCTGCCAACACGAATACTGAAACAGTGTATTCTGGATCTGAACAGAAGTGGATTACGTGAGTGGGAATTGAAGGCAGAAATACCCTATGGGAAGGTCTTATAAGCTCTCCATGTGTCCTTAGAGAGACCACATACTAGAACAACTCTGATGTATTGCCTACTGGAATATACATAGGGAGCCCTGGTTCTGAAGTGCTTACTCATTGGGTGCCTAATTGCAAGGTCAGCAGTTCGAAACCACCAGCCATTCCAAGGAAGAGGAAAGACGAGGCTTTTTTTAAACTCCCGTAAAGAGTTAAAGTCTCAGAAACCCACAGTGGGGGCAGTTCTGCCTTGTCCAATAGGGTCACCATAAGTCAGAATTGACTCAGTGGCAGTGAGTTTTTGTTTTTGCTTGGGATCATATATGAAAGACATCTTGCACCTTCTTTTACCCAAAATCCAAACATTTCAAAGGAACATGATTTGAGTCCCATGAAGCTGCCAAAGCTGCTGTTTGGGTGTGTAAATCAAAAAGTGCAGGGTTTTTAGGGGGAGCACCAGCAAGGAGAGGCACCGCTATGACAAGTGCAGGCCTTGTGGGGGATATGTTAAAAAAGTAGCTTTGCATTTGGTTATTTTTGTTTCACAAAGGTTTCTATGGTTTTGAAACAGTATTTATTTTGACCTGCCTTCATATGCCTGTGCTCTTAGATAGTTTCAACTACTGGCGTTTTTGTTGCTGTCAGTACTGTGCAGTGTCCAGTTCTCTCTGTGTCGTGTCTGTATGGGAAATAACCTGGGGGTGGGCCAAAATGCCGCTCTTTCAACAGATCCTGGTCTCTGTCACCGATTTCATGAAAAGCAACCTCAAATCAGTGTATAAACTGAGGCGAGACTAAATAAGCTGTCAGTTCGGTGCTGCCTCTACCTCAGTCTACCCTGACGATGGCAGGGCAGCCGACCTCGCCCGTGCCAGAGATGAGACATTTCACCTGGCTTTCTAGAAATAGGAAAGTAGCCGTTTCCCAGTTACCTGAAAATTGTGTGTCTTATAGGACTTGGCAGATGAACTTGCCCTTGTTGACGTCATGGAAGACAAATTGAAGGGTGAAATGATGGATCTCCAGCATGGCAGCCTTTTCCTTCGAACACCAAAAATCGTCTCTGGCAAAGGTTGCTTTCATTATATTGTAGTCTATCCCAGCTAGACTGAGTTCATCAGGGTTGATGTATTTGCCCTTTAAAGAGTTTCTTTTTTTATACAAGAAGTCCCTGGGTCAGGATTTAGGGATGACTTGGACTTGGCCTTGAATGGTAATGTAGATTGATCCCGCTCCGTGAAACTGTTGAACCAACAAATTCTTCATCACAGCTATCTCCATGTGCAACTTTTAAGTTGAAAAGGTGCTGAACTGCTGCTTGCAGTAAGCTCAGGCTCAGTAAGAATTGTGTGCACCTATTCTGACTTACCTGCAGATTCACAATAAAAACACACATAAGAACAGCTCTCCTAGCCAGAGGCTGCCTGTGCTGGGTAGGAGAGCCATGGGATGATTTGGCATTGGAATCGGTGGTTACCAAAGTTTCAATATCTTGTAAGTGGTTTTAAGTAAAAATATGGTCCCTGATGTGGAATGAAGCTGACTTAGAATGAAATTGGTACAGCTCCAAACCTTCCACTCATTTTTTTTTTCTTCTTTTTTGTTTTCTTTTAGTGAGAGAGACTGAGGCAGTGAGTGAGGCAGTGAGTGAGTGAGAGTGAGACAGTGAGTGAGTGAGGCAGTGAGTGAGTGAGAGAGAGAGTGAGTGAGTGAGGCAGTGAGTCCCTTCCACTCATATTTAATAACCACATTGCTTTAAATCCTTAAACATGCTTAGCCCCTCTGCCTGTCCGACTAGCTCAAAATGGAGAGCAGAGTGATGGAGCCTGGTGAGAAGGTATTACTGGCTTGACCTTCCATTTTATACCGGACAGTCAGGAAGCCTGGAAATGGGCCCAACTAGGGTCTGCTTTGTCATTGCGAATAGGTGAGTTAGGGGCCACAGAAAGCTTGTGGGAGAATATCATTACCTTCCCTTACCATTTTTCTTTCTTTTTTTAAGTTGTCAAAGATTTCCTTTTACTTGGATTTGCAATCAATGCCCAATATTTCCATTTTCCCATGAACTTTCTGGGGCCCCTTAATTCATCACAGAAACATAGGCATGGATATGAGGCTGAAATTTGATTTCTTCCAGCCCAACCCTTTGCCCCCACCCTTGTGGTTACGTAAAGTCACACCATGATAACAACTCAACACAAGGAAGGGGTGGATGTACGTGTCCTTGGTTTCAGAGTGATACCATTGCAAGAGATGAATGTGGGGTGACAGTGGGGATACTCTGCCGCTTAGGCAAAACACTTAGGAAACAACTCACACAGCAACTTATCAAACACGTTTTGATAGTAAAGAGTTTGCTTAAAGGCTTTAATCTGTTCGTTGTTTCTTTTCTCTCTAGACTATGATGTAACTGCAAATTCCAAGTTAGTAATTATCACTGCTGGAGCTCGTCAGCAGGAGGGAGAAAGTCGTCTTAATTTGGTCCAACGCA